GTATCAGTTAGCTGCCCTGATAGAATACTATTGTGCTATAAGAAATTACAAGGACAGAGGTGGTGCAGTGGATAGAGTATTGGGCCTGGAGTCAGGAAGAATCATTTTCTGAGTTCAAATCCAGCCTGAGACACTTCCTAGCTGTGTGATTCTGGTTTAACCATATTTGCCTCAGTTTACTCATCTGTAAAATGAGCTGGAGAACCTAATGGCAAACCTCTCCAGTATCTTTGCTAAGAAAAACCCCAAATGGGTCACAAAGAGTTGGAAATGACTGAACAACAAATAAGAAATGACTAGCAGGATGCTTGCAAAGAAAACCTGGGAAGACTTATAAACGAACTGATGCAAAGTGAAGTAAGTAGAACCAGAATAACAGTGTCCACAGTAACAGCAATATTATATGATGTTAACTGTGAATGACTTAGTCATTCTCAGAAATACAGTAATCTAAGACAGTTCCAAAGGACTTAACGATGAAAAATGCTATACACCTCCAGAGAAAGAACTGATAGAGTTTGAATGTAAGTCAAAACATACTTGTTTTTTAAACTTTCTCTATTTTACTTGGTTTTTATTTTTGGTCTGTTTTCTCTTTTACAAAATGACTAATATGGAAATATATTTAATGACTGCACATGTATAATCTATACCAAATTGCTTGCCTTCTCAGTGAGGGGGGAGGGAAGGAAGGGAGAAAATTTAAAACAAGTTTTTTTTTAAAAAAATGCTAAAATTGTTTTTACATGTAATTGGAAATATTTTTTTAAAAAGACTAGCCCTGTTTTTCAAAGTAGCAAATGGTAGAATACCATCCATCACTCACATTATCAGAACAAATGTCATTCAAGGGTCTTCTCTATATATTATACCTTATTTTCTATTCTCCTCTTGGGTTCCGCTCCTCCCAATTCTCTGCTATTATTTAGATTACAGCTGAATGAAAATAAGACAAATTTTAAAATAATCTCACATTTTTTTTAAAATTCAAATAACAGTATGGGAGAAAGAAAAAAAATGGAAGTCCTGGGGTAGTGGAAAGCCTGGAAACAGGAGTCCTGATTCACTAATTGTGAGTCCTTGGACAAGTCATTTAGTCCTCTCTGGATCTTGAGTTTCTTCATCTGGAAAAATAAGAGGCTATTCTGAAGGATTTAGGATGCTTACAGAGTCACTAGAGTTGGAAGGGATCTTACAAATTTAGTTTAAATCCCTCTCTCATTTTACATATGAAGAAATGAGCCTAGAGAGGTGATTTCTACAGATTTTGGGATCATATGCATCATTTCCTCCTTACCCTTTCCCCAAATGAAACTTGGATTCCATCTTAGGAATGACCGGGTCTCATGGTGAGCTGCGAGCATTGCCTTATTTTTGTGATAGCCAAGTCTCCACTTAATTTACCACTAGTTCTAAATCATGCAGTGTAGGGTATATACCTCCACCCCACCTTCTAGCTCCTCTTTATATGTTGTCTTCCCTTAGCTGAATGTAAGCTTCATGAGTGCAGGACCTCTCTTGTATTTGTATCCCCAGCACTTTGCACAATGCCAGGTATCACATAGTAAATGGGGATCAAGGGGTTGGAAAGGGAATAAATATTTATATAGTGCCTGACTACATACCAGGTACTGGGCTAAGTGATTTACAAATATTATCTCATTTGATCTTCACAACAAACTGTGAGATAGGGCTGTTATTATCCCCATTTTATAGTTGAGGAAACTGAGGTAGGCAGAGTTTAAATGACTTGCCTGGGGTCAAGTAAGCCTCTGAAGTTAGATATGAATTTGGGTCTTCCTGACATCAGGCCCAGCACTCTATCCACTGGGCCACCAACTACCAATGCTAAATGGTATGTAAATACTTGCACACTCTAGCTATCTATCCAATTATCTATCTATCATCTATCTAGGGGCAGTTAGGTATCACAGCGGAGAGTGTGGTGCCTGGAGTCAAAAAGACTCATCTTTGTGGGTTCAAATCTGGGCTCAGACACTTACTAGCTCTGTGATCCTGGACAAATCACTTAACCCTGTTTGCCTCAGTTCCTCATTTGTAAAATGAATTGGAGAAGGAAATGGCAAACCACTCCAGCATCTTTGCCCAAAAAACCCAAATGGGATCATGAAGAGTTGGACACAACTGGAGACAAAATCATCTGTCTTTCTACTTGCCTATCTGTTTACTTATCTATCTAGCTAGGTATCTAGATATCGATCAATCTGGTTTTCCCATGGCAAGACCAGGACTTGAACTCTTGTCCCTGATTCTAACTGAAGCAGGTAGTATGAAGGTGAGTTGCAAGGTTAGGCATGGGGCTAGAGAACAGGTAATGAGCAAAGACACATCACCATGGAAGAATCAAGAGGTTTCCATTGGCCTTTGAAGACACTTGATTTCCACGATAAGGTTTCTAGGGGATTAGGATTCCTCGAAATGGGGTCAGAACTGGGGAGAAAGGCAGAAATTGAGCTCTTAATAGCTGCACAAGCAGCAGCAAAGGAATGCCTTCAAGGTTTTCTTATTACAAGAAGCCAGGCAGGAAAGGAGAAAACAGGTCAAGATCAAAGGAAGCTCTTCCACTGACTCATCTCCTTGAGTGATGGAACCCAGACAATGGCAGCACGTATGCAGTTCGGCAGATAATAAAGGAAGGCATCCTGGTACCCAGAGTTGCTTCTGAGGGAGGGAATATGGAACTTCAAGGCCAATGTAGATTCTTCTTTCCTCCTCTCCTTCCCACCCCCTCCTCATTATACCTGCAGAAGAACTCCATGTCCCTGAATGGTACAATAGGAGGTGGAGACAAAGGAATCTATATTTAGGGGAAGGACATAGGCAAGCTGCTGTGTGTCCAGGGAAGGATATACATGCACCCCAGCCTGGCTTTAGTAACTAGAGACTGAATAATTATCACAATTTATATTTACATGGTATTTGAAGGTTTGCAAAGCACTTTCCTCACTATAACAATGTGAGGTAGATAATCTTAGGATTTTTATTGCTTCCTTTTACAGATGAAGAAACTGAAATTCTCTATGAAGCAAGATTTGAGCACAGGTCTCTTAACTTCAGGCCCAGCACTCTATACCAGGCTGCCTCTCAGGTCCAGGCTATCTGAGGGTCAGTCGAAAGCCCTATAGATGATTAGCATAGAGAAGAGAAAGCTTATAGGGGCCTTCAAGAAGAGTTTTCATTTGGAATGGAGATTTAGATTTATTCTTCTAGATCCTAGAGGGCAGAATCAGGACCAACAGGTAGAAATTATAGGAAGGCAGTTTTAGACTCCAGGTAGGGAAAAACTTCCCAACTTTTAGAGCTAATCCAAAATAGAATGGGCTACCTTGGAAAGTAGTGAGTTTCACATCATTAGAAGTCAACTATGAGAGGTGGAATCATCACTTATCCCATATGTTGTGGAGATATCCTATAGGAAGCCATCCCTGATCTTTATTATTTGCCTCCACTTCCCCATCCCCTCCCCCATCATGTTGATAATTATTTGATACAATGGAGAGACCCAACTGGAGTGAGGAGGATCTGGATTCGAGTTCTGCCTCAGACACATACTAGCTGCGTGATCTTGGACAACTCACTTCCACTCTCAGTGACCCAATCAACTCTCCAAGACTATGTACTGCAGAATTGTTTGTAATTCACATTAGTAGGTAAAGGGTGTATCTTCTCTGGGAATTCCCTGTCAACGAAATCAGAGGTCCACTTGAAAAAAAAGATCTGATGACATGTTGTTGTTTCACAGAATGGAATGCAAGCTTTTGGATGCCAGGATTTGTTCCCATCTTTGTCTTTGAGGCTACAATGGCTAATGCATTTGCTGTTCAGCCATTTTTTTTCAGTCATATCTGACTCTTCATGAACCCACATGGGGTTTTCTTGGCACAGATACTCGCCATTCCCTTCTCCAGTTCATTTTACAGATGGGGAAACTGAGACAAACTGGGTTAAGTGACTTGCCTAGGGTCATTCAGCTGATATGTGTCTGAGGCCAGATTGAACTCAAGATGATGAGTCTTCCTGACTCCAGACCCAGCATTCTATCCATTGCACCACCCAGGTAGCACATAGAAGGCATCTAATAAATTTTTAATGAATTGGATTAGGCAGCTGGTAATCCAGTGGAGAGAGGACTGAGCTTAAAGTCAGGAATATCTCAATTAGTATCCTATCTCAGAATCTTACTGGCCATGTGACTTTAAGCAAGTCACTTCCCTTCTGGTTTCCTTATTGGTGAAATGAGGGGATTGGATTTAATGATCTTTGGGGCTGCTTTCAGCCCTAAATCTGTGCTGCCACAGGTAGAGGTTGGCTTAGATGGCCTTCAAAGTCCTTTTCAACCATGGTAACTCTGTGATTCTTGACAGTACTCTATAGGTCAGATATAGATAACAGGTGCTGCCTTATGAGAACCAAGAATATTCACTCCTAAACTTTATAGCCCAAGGTGTATAAGATTATAAGATTCCAAGCTACAGGATACCTCAGAGATTATCCAGTCTAACACTCTCATTTTATGATTGAGAAACTGTATCCCAGAAAAGGGAAATATCTTTTCCAAGGCAACACGGGTAGGAATTGGGTAGGAAATAGATAGAAAAAAATCATGTTTAGCATCTAGGTTTCCTGATCAGCTCTCTTTCTACTATGCAATGCTAACATTTCTCAAGAAGCATATTTCATACCCTTTGGCTCTTCATAGTTACAAAGTACTTTTCATACATTTCATAATAGTCCCCTGATGGAGGCAGGACAAGGATTTTTATTCTCATTTAACAGATGAGGAAACTGAGGCATATATAGAGGAGCTGACAGTGAATAAATGGCCAAGGTAGGACTCCAACCCAAGTCTCTTGGCTGCAAGTCCAAAATTCCTTTCACTAGCCCACTCTGTCTAATAATAGTAGTACGAAGAAATACTGACTATTCTGGATTGTTTCATCCCCTGGGTACGAGAAAGAGAAGCAGGACCCCACACTTACCCTGGGCTACTAGTGTATGCCTGCCCCAACACACAGTCTTCAGGAGGCAAGTCAGGATTAAACCAGAAGTTTGCAAAACACTTTCTGGCTTCTGATTTTGAAGGTGCTGATCGTTCAAACCCATAATCACTAAGAGAAGAAAAGAGAGAATGGAGATGATTAGGTATCATTGTAATCATTTCAGGGCAATCCCCTGCCCAGCACAGTCTGGGGAGGGGCAAAGTTAAGAAAATCCATTTAGAAATTCTCACTGGATTTAGAGGATGTTAGAGGTCATTTAGTCTGAGCCCCACGTTTCTTTAGATGAGGAAAAGGAAGTCTAATAAGGGGAAATGGCTTTCTTCATGGTCCCATAGTTGGCAAGTAATAGAGCCACAACTTGACCTTGGGTACTTAGACTCTGATTACAGTATTCTTTGCTTTTCATGATGCCTGTGGCTATGGGAAGGATTATGGAATGGTCCTGGAGGTGATGGATAGCAATGTGGAAAGAATCCCTTTCTGATATTTGTGAGCACTGAGCAGTTCAATAACTTACCTAGAGTCACACAGTCAATATAGGTCAAAGGTGGAACATGACCCCAGATCTTCTTGGCTCTAACCACTGAGGTGTGCTGCTTGCCATCCTCCCCCTCCAAAACTTGAGTTTATATCTTTGTCTGTCTCTCTGTCTCTCTGTCTCTCTCTCCCCTACCTTCTTTTCCCCTTCTCTTTCTTTCTCTCCATCTTGCACTGTTTCATTTTTTCTCTCTTCCTCTCCCTTTTCCCTGTAGAAATTTGATATCCATTTCCTAACCATGAAAAGAGTCATGCACCAATATTCTGTACATTTTATGTATTCTAGTCAAATATTTTTGTTTCTTCCGGCCCCCATGCTGGATTATAAGCTTCCTGAGATTGAATACTGTATCTTACTGAAACCTTCTATCTCCCTTACCATGGAGCACAGTGCAATATGCATAGTAGGTACTTCATAAGTGGATCCTGAATATGTGATTGATTGAATGTATTTTAAGTCTGTGCCTACACAAAAAAAACAGTCCCTTTTATACCCCAGGGGCCACTCAGACTCATTGATGACAAGAGGCTTTCCTTGGACTTACCAAAAGAAGTCTGAGCTTGAACACTTGCACACACTGGATGTGAGCACCGATGTGAAGCTCTGCCCCTTGATACACCATGATGTGGTCTTCCTTTTCCGGAAACTCCTCTGTTGACCCATAATACAATGATTGCCCTGTAATCAGCAAAGATGTCAGGTTATAACACATGATGGTGACCGTTCTAGTTGATAAGAGGGAGACCTTTTTTTTTTGTCAGTAGACCAAAAGTTGCTCTAATCAGTCCCATCAGATAATGAACCACATGCATTTTGTCATCAACAAAGACCATCTGGTCCAAGTCTCTCATTTTTCAGGTGAGAAACTGAACCCAGAAAGAGGAAGAGACTGGCCCAAAGTCCTACCACTAGTAACCGACAGAGCCCAAGTCAACTGACTCTCTATCCAATCTCTTTCTGTCACATCACTCTGGCCAAGACAACGGAGTGACAGACAATACATGAGAATGATCTCGTAACACACCCCTAAACCAGAATTAAATTTTGGCATAATCCAAATAGCCTGCTTTTCTATCTAAATGACGTCTAGCTTGGCCTTGACACATGGCAATCTGAGAAGCTCTAAGTGTCCCCAGATACAGTTATATTTCTTTCTATTTTAAGCTTAATACCTCTTAAGGCCCCTCACTAACCTTAGAGCCAGTGTTAAAATATATACATTTCATTCTGTGTGTGTATGACATGTCCATCACTTTTTTGAAGAAAGTATTCCTGACATAAAGTCATGAGATCTCTGTGTGACCTGCTAACTTTTGGCTTTTCTCATTTCTTATTTCAGAATCACATTTTCCAACATTTTTTTATCTTCTTATCTTATGCCTATATTTGCACTGAAGTCAAAGAACATTAAGCTACATGTTGATTTAATGCAGAGCATCTTTAAAATTCTCCTTTGCATTTCTCTACTGTAGGGGTTCTTAATCTTTTTTTGTGTGTCATGGATCCTCTTTGGCAGCCTGATGAAACCTCTGAACCATTCTCAGAATAAAGTTTTTAAATACATAAAAATAAAACACATAGGATCATAGAAGAAACCAAAGGTTAGTAAAAATAAAGATGTGTGTGTATATATATATATACATATATGCACATATATTTTTATATATAATATCACTCATATGTGATAAATGGGAAATATATTTTTGTTGTTGAGTCATTTCAGTCACGTTTGACTCTTTGTGACACCATTTGGGGCTTTCTCTGCAAAGATACTGGAGTGGTTTGCCATTTCCATCTTCAGCTTGTATTACAGATGAGGAAACTGAGGCAAACAAGGTTAAGTGATTTGCCCAGGGTTACACAGCTAGTAAGTGAGAGTGGATTTGAACTCAGAAAGACGAGTGTTCCTGATGGGATATAACTATATATCTATGTTTACATCTATTTCTATATCTATATATTTCCCATCCATGGTAATGGCCCCCTTGAAATCTACCCTAGGTTAAGAACCTCTCGTCCATGTCCTTATTCTCTGCAATGTATGTTGAATAAGTTATAATTATTTTCTTGGGCATCTTTTTACAAATACTTATCATGAATACTGCAATAGGAGATGACCCAAATGTTCCAGGAATTCATGTTTCTTGTTGCCTTTGGAGACACAAAAACCACAATTCCCTAATTCCTTTATTTGGCCTGCCAAATAAAGAGAACCCATGACCCATGCTTTCATTTAGCTGCAACTTCCTTTTATCCTCTCATTATATTTACTTTGAGCATTTCAGGACTGAGACAATTCAATTCCATTAGTAACATGCTGGTTCACCAATGCTCATTTAACTGGTGTGGTACTTAGAGTAAAGTTAATGTTTAGAGACAGGAATAAAATGGTGCGATTCTTTTGTCTCCTCTGTCGCCCTTTTACTATACCACCACCATCATTGCAGAAGCAACAGGGGGCTGAGGTCTGAGGGCTGTTTTCCATTTTTCTTTATTTCAAGGGGTTGCTATGACCAAAGAATTCATCACTGAGTAGCCAACCTATTTTTAAAAAGGTTCTTTGGTCCTTGGTGGATTAGATCTATTAGTCTGTTGCAGGACCTGATGGAACTGAAGCCTTACTGGTCTGGTACAACCTTTCAGAGCTTACACTCTGCTATGGCAGATCTCAGGTGACCCAGGGTTAGCCAGTCCATAATGAGGCATCATAGTAGGACTTGTTGGAGGAAGCCACCAAGTGTTGAGTCATGTGTTCCCAGAGCCTGCATTGGTTTATATGTTATCCCAATTTCTGGTTCATTATGGACAACTGAGAAACAGTCAAATTCAGTGCTGTCCATGCACAGTAACTGCTCTCTCCTTTGCAGTTCCATCAAAATACCTGTAAGTTGGTGAGATTCCAGTAGTCATAATCATCCTCAGTGCATTGCCTGGGAAAAGAAGGTCTAAAGTCCACCTTCACCAGCTCCCAATCTGAACGGAAACTTATGTGACCAAAGACCCTGGCAAAGGAGAGAAGAGAACATACGGTAAATTCCAGAAATACTCATTTGTTTACTACCTCACCCCCTAATATCTGTTGAGTGTATAGAGGGCTTTATGCTAGGTTCTGAGGGAGATATTAAAATGAAAAAAGGAAAGACCATCCTTGCCATCATAGAGTTTAATGTCTGGAGGGTTGGGGAGAAAAACAAGATAAATGTACCATAATACAATTTGGAATGTGAAAATGCAATGAATAAAGTACAAAGAAGTACATTAATTCTGAAGAGGACGATATCATTTCCAGCTAGAGATATTAGGGTTAGGTGGACCTTGGGGAATGTGCATGAATTTGACAGACCAGTCTCCTCACTATTCTTAGGTAGAAATTACGAGGAGGCAAATTTCAACTCAATATATAAATAGAATTTACTAATAGTCAGTGTGCTGCAATAATAAAATGGACTCCCTAGTGAGCTGGTGGATGAATTTTGGGGAATATTCTGGACAGAATTTATGGGCTTGATGATTGACTCAGGTGTCTTTCAATTCTGTGATTCTATGAATTTATAATAAATAATCCCTGCCCTCAAGGAGCTTACAAGCTACTTGGGGAGGCACAATGTATATATGTAAAATAATTAAATAAATAAATATATTCTAAACAGTAGATAGTTAAGAATGAAATGCTTTGTTGCAAAGTGTTAGGCTCCCAAGAAGGCATTGTAAAGTTTAAAGAACACTGACTCTGGACACAGAGAATTGGGGTTCAAATTCTGCCTCTGATATTTACTAACTATATGACTTTAGGCAAATTGCAACCTGCTTGAGTATATGTTTCCTTAACTAGGAAATGAAGAGATTGGAGTAGTAGACTCTGAGGTTCCTTCTGGGTGTAGATTTATGATCTTATCATCTCACAATGTTGTTGTTTGTCCATAAATATATTAAGAGAAAGAGGGAGCGAGGGGAAGAAAACAATCATTTATTAAGTGTATATTATGTGCCAGGCACAGTGCACACTGTACTTTGTATATAAATATTATCTCATTTGATCCTCACAACAACCATGAGAAATAAATGCTTTTATTATCCACATTTGCAGTTGAATAAAATGAGGCAGATAGTGGTTAAGAGACTTGCATAGGGTCATACAACTAATAAATGTCTAACGCCATATTTGAACTTGATTTTTCCAGTCTCCAAGTTCAGTGCACTCCATCCATTGTGCAGTCCAGCTGCCTCAGAAGAGGGAAAGGCTCAGAAAGTGGTATTGGCAAGTAACCAGCTATTTCTGCCCTTAGAACACAAAGTCATCATGACCCAGCTCTTTGGCATGTACTGTTCCTTAAGACCTCTAACAGCTTGGAATAAAGCTCATTCATATCAGGGTAGCATAAATATAGGGCAGTTGGTGGCACAGTGGGCAGAGCACTGGGTGTAGAATCACAAAGACTCATCTTCATGAGTTCAAATCCGGCCTCAGACACTAGTTGGGTAACCCTGGGCAAGTCACTTCACTCTGTCTGCCCAAGTTCCTCATCTGTAAGATGAGTTGGAGAACGAAATGGCAAACCACTTCAGTATCTTTGCCAAGAAAATCCCAAATGGGATGATGAATAGTCAGATATGACTGAAATGACTGAATGAACAGCATAACTATAGACACATTGGGAAAACTTACCCAGTGAACACGACTCCTTAATACTACATATAATTCATTTGAAAATACCAGCCCAGAAGCCTGGGATAGCGCTGCTTCTAAAAGTTGGTTGTAGACAGTCTTAGAAGGGAAAAGAAGCTGGTGACCTCTTTAGGATTATGGGCAACAGCTACTGTTTTCTGTCCCACAGATTAATTGTCCTACTTTCTGATTAAAGTAATACAGAGAATGGCCATTCAGGGTAACCAATCAATGAAAGTATTTATATTTTACACACATAAATTTATACATACTTTAATGGATCTGTAATGTCATTGATATGAGTAATCTCTTCAATGCTGTAGATTGTAGTATTTATATGTTTATATATACAGATACTATATATGAATATATTCATATTATGGTTATATATGTATGTACATATTTGTGTGATAAACACATAAATAAAACACTATATATGTATTTGAATGTGTAAATATATAGGATATCAGAGAAAAGGAATCATCTAAGAAAACTTCACAACACAGGTAAGGCTTGAGTTGGGCCTTGAAGGATGTATGGGAAAGAGTGAAAAGTGTATTTCAGGCATTAGGACCATCATAAACAAAGGAACAAAGAGAAGAAAGAGCCAGCCATGTGATACAGGATGTGAGGGCTGGGTAGAATAGAACATTCATCTTAGGGAATGGTGAAAGACAAGATTGGATCAGTAAGGTGATGGTCACATCATAAAGGGTTCTGACTATTCAAAAAAGAGGCATATCCAGAAATGAACAGGCCAGTTCTTTTGGGTGGCTTATGACACAACTCCAAAGGCCAATTCCTACAGAGGAATGAAACATCTAGGTTCAATTCCTTAAGCCAAACTAGTGACCATGACTGGAACTTTTGCATCCTGCTCTGGCTGGATCCTGGTTGTACCCTTACCCTTATCCTTCACCTCACATCCTTGGATATCTCCAGTTAAGCTTCATAGTTAAAAAGTGTCAAATAAAACACATATTGCTTTGCTTTACTGGCATATCTACCTTTCTGTGCCTCAGTTTTGTAATATGTAAGATGGGGGCAAATAATACTTACATTGCCTGTCTCAAAGGGATGTTGTAAGAAATAACAATTTTTCAACCCACAAAAAGCTATAAAAATGTGGGATATTATTAATAATTCATATCACATCAGGGATTATTAAGAGAATGATGGGTATTTAGCCTGCGTAATCCAACCCAAGTCAACAAATATTTATTAAGTATATCTTTTGTGCAAGGAGGAACATCAACTGAGTAAAGGCAAGACCTTTAAATAAATGAAACTGAATTTAACAACAGAATTTGCAGTGCTAGTAATATCTGAACAAAGACTTGAGAGGGGGCTTGGGAAGAGATTCCTGAATTAGGAAGCAGCATTGACTAAATGTTCACTCTAAGAAGCGGTACAAAACAAAGTCCTTTATTTGGAGGGGTGATGCAACTTTGTATCTTCTCCGGGGAGGGGGGATGAAGGTGCTTAATATGTTTGGTGGATTAAACTGAATTTCAGTGGAGAGAAAACATGATCACGAACAGGGTTTTTTTTCCCTCTTGTTCCTAATAACATCAGAGAAACAAAGTGAGAAAAGAGAGGCAGAGGTGAACAATTTGAAATCAGTCATTTTAAGATACCGTAGGAGGGAAGGAGGAAGCAAGCCAATGTGTTATTATTATCTGTCCCATAATGGATGGCTACAAAATACTGGCTAAAATGTGGAAATGAACTAATCTCCAGCCACCCCACGTTCACCGTTGAACTCAGACTGAGGCTAAGTTGCACCTATTAGCTGCTGTAAAGAACTGCCAGAGAGGGAAATGCCAAGACATTTTATTACAAAGTTAAGTGAAGGAGAAGGCCCGCTTGACCTCAGGATCATCTGATCGTGGCTTAGAACCAGAAGGGATCTTAGATAGCATCTAGGCCAATCCCCTTTGCAGATCCTGCAAATGCTTCAGCCGAGGTCTTATTGGTGCATTCATTCCTCCCCACCTCAGGCCTTGTTTTAGTGCAAGGTCAGTACACTCTGGGTCTTGAGTGACTTTTGACAAGTTAGCTGAGGCATAACAACTGTTTGCTTTCTGGTACGTGTAGGATGAGACCTGGTCTGTGATTTCCTTTGAAATGGGAATGTCCTCTACAGGCTTCAGGTCAATAATAATAATAGTAATCATAGCTAGCATTTATATGCTAGCTTTAAGGTTTGCAAAGTACTTTGTAAAGGTTATCTCCTTCATCCTCACAACAACCCTGGGAAGTATGTGCTATTATTATCCCCATTTTACAGATGAGGAAACAGAGGCACAGAGAGGTTGAATGATTTGCCCAGGGTGACACAGCTAGTGTCTGAGGCAGGTGTAGAACTCAGGTCTTCCTGACTCCAAGCACAATACTCTATCCTCTGCACCACCTCACTTCCTCAGCATCTCAGGGGAGTACTGCCCTTGTAACTTGGAGACGAAATGGTCAATGGCACCAAGAAGCAGTCACTTGTTCAGGGTCCTGCATTCAGCACATAGCAAAAGAGGGATCTGAACCCAAGTCTAGTTGATTTTTAAGGCTGGCTTTCCACCTACTATGCCAGGTCTCTCTGATATGCATTCTGATGGGGAAAAAGAAGAAACAAAATTATTACCAATAACTACAAATAATAGGTCTGGAAAACTCTTTTCAAGTTGATCAACTCTACTTCTGTATATTTCTCTCCAAATACTCTACATTTTAACCATAGTTCATCTCCTTCCTCTTCTCTCTGCCCCCTGTGCTATTCATTACTTCTGAAATGCCCTCCCTTCCCCTAATTCACCTGCTGTGGTCCTATGCATCCATCAAATCTTCCTCAAATTCCATCCTCTTCGTAAAGTTTTACCTGACCCTAGAGCTATGATTAAGGATTTTTTGTAGGTGAGGCAAGGACCACAGATCAGTGGGACTCCCTCCTTGTAGGAGGGAGGCAGAAATGTTGGGATAATGGCATCATCATTGCTGATGGTGTGGAGGCTGAGAGGCTGCACCTTATCGTAACCTGCCCAAGGGCTGTGAGGGCTGCCATTGTCTTGTATCCTGCAAATGCCACACTCTGGTGAAAAGCTCCAATCATCCTACCCTAGTTATGGTGCCTGATTTCCCACTTAAGGACCTTTCCCTTTTGACTTAATACAGAACTTTTTTTGGCTCCTCTAAAATGCATTTATTGTATAATGTGTATTCTAGATAGCTCTCTGTTCATTGTTTCCCTACTAGATTGTAATCTCTGTGAAAGAAAGACAAGGCTAAGTCTCATCTAAATTTCCCACCTCCTGCAATGCTCAGCACAATTCTCTGCAAATAATG